TTAATTCATGCAGGGCATTTGACTATAATACTGGCTTAAAAACCAAAAATTCATCAATTCGGCATGAAAAGCAAGCCACATGGTCAAATTTATTCTATTTAATGTCCAATCCAATCACAGACATTGTCCACCGGAGAAATCCTAGTTTCCTATCCTGGTAAGGTTACATAGTCTCTAATATTTATGTACAAAAATTTGTTGCAGAAAGGAATGCAATAATTAGTAGTTATCTTAGTTATTAAGTACTATAATCCCATGACTGTCACATGATAATCTTTTTGAAGCTCCTTAAGGGTGCTGCACTACTGCCCACGCAAATTTTTTAATCTGTTGCTAAGGAAGCTGTTTTTCCCAAAGTACTTTACCAGTCATAATGAAACCAGTACTAGTTAAAAGACAGTAACTAAATTAGTTAGTAAACTAACTTGAGCCTTTAACCCATAATAGCTAAAATACTGAAGAATTTTCAAAACCGAAAAACTCCTCTTAATTTCAATTTGAATGACCAGATTTCTAGGTGAAGGCAGTTTTTAACTAAACAAATTGATTAACATAGAGATATTTCTCCTTTTCTACTTGTAGTGCCGCTTATTTTGATTTTCGTATTGCTCAATACCACATTTTCCTATATTAGCCCTGTTTAATTGAAATATCTCTATGACACTGTATGTGTAATCATGTAAAGAGGCTCTATTGTAAATTTGGTCTGATTCTGATTACCACAGGCAAAGTTTTTTGAAATTTTGCATTTTTCTGGCATAAAACACCAATTTTAAAATCTAAACTTCATTTTACAATATTTTCAGTCCCTTTCTTTAAAGGTTTTTCATTAAATTAAAACCCATTTTTAGAGGAGCATAAAGATCCTAATAAGATTCTTATATGGGACACTTGTATGGCTTAAGCATTCCTGCATCAAATAATTGTTGCTATAGGCAGCTACAATAGTAAAAGGCAAGAAGGAATCTATCAAAGATCTAGTTATATTCAAGGACATCATTTGTGGGATGAAAAACAGGCATCTACATACTTTTTAACCAAGCTTCACATGAGAATTGTTCTTATTCTTCTGTTACTTACTCTACAGTTAGTTTATGTTTCTTTGCCAGCAGTCATTGTATTTATAAACATCTAGATCTGGAAATAAAGAAGCGCATAAAAATCATTATTTTAAGATACGGTATCCATCTACGTGCAATAATTGACCACCATTTTAAACAGCAAAATTCAATGGAGAAAGAATGGCGTAAACCTTGTTTTACTGGTCTGGAGCTCTTTCAAGCTACAAAAGTTGGTCGAAAGAAAGAATGGGTCTTACCAAGCATATCATAAAACAGATTTGGTGGAATATGCAGCAGATTCTTTACTATAATAGCTTGCCAGTCATACTTGAATAGGTCATGTCACTAAGTTACTTTCATGTGAGTGCAGGTGTGCCCAAAATGAAACACAGTGCCACAATTTCTGTAGCAGTGTCACCGGACCCTTCCCCGTTCTCTCATTGCAGAAGGCGAGAAGGGGTGTTACCAGGCTAATTTAATACATACTTTCTTTCATTTCATATTCTAGTTGTATCTCCTGCTGCCGCCTTTCTTCTCTTTGTCGCTCTTCCTCTTCTTGCCATGCTGTCTTCTGCTGCCTTCTTATCTCAATTATATCTGACAAAATATGATTCAGTTTATAGTATACCTCACAAACCATAAATACTCACTTTCCTTCAAATAGTCTAGTGCTTGGTCAGCAATATCAATTCTTTCAGCATCAAGTAAACCGAACACAAGATTGTAATATGTGGCATTATCCCCGTTCTTCTGCTTCCATTTGTTTAAAAGTGCAAATCTTCTACTTTCTTCAGAGTCATTATCAACTTTAATGGCCTTGATTTCAGGAAGTGTGATTTCCAAGTACAACCCAACAATATCCCAGTTATCTAAGCCTTTACTCAGTTTGAGTAGGACACTATCTGGACACTGATGACCCTTTAAGTCTTCAAATGTAAGTCCCCTTACATCTAAATGATCTTTGAAGTCTGTCTCTACAAATTATTAGTCAATGCTTCCTATTACTGATTAAAAGACTTACCAAAGCGACTGCCACTTCGGCGGCTTGCTGCCATTTCCTCTGACACAGGAACTGATTCAGCGGAATTACAATACACACCCAATAGTTTGGAGTCTGAATCAGGATTGATGTTAGCCTGAATCCTGAAATCAGTACTGGATCATGCATTTTTAGCAATCAGTCACAAAACCCATGCCACAGTTATCAGGCATGATCAGCAATGATACTTGTCAGGACTGCAGCAGTATAGATATCAGACTTGACTCGTTCATTTTGGGCAATATCATCACTGATTCAGGCATGATTACTGTTGACTCTGTAGTTATGTGCCAATATATGGGTGGTTTATTTGTATTATCATGATATTATTATTATTAGTAATAAAACTGATGGGAAAAGAGAGAGAGAGAGAGTGACATGACAAAAAACAAAAATGTGAAGTAAATATAACAAAACAAGATAATAATAATAACAATAATAACAATAATAATAATAATAATAATAATAATAATAATAATAATAATAATAATAATAATAATGATTAAAGAAATAGTGTAATCAACATTTACACTTTTCTCTGTTCATTGGAGGTTGCTCAAGACGTAATGCTACACTAGAATCTTCATCTGAAAAGAAAGAGACAGCAAGAAAGAGAAATAGAAGAAAGAATAAAAAGAAGAGGTACAGTACTACAGTTACAGTATAAGTGGTTTTTACCATATAGCAGGTATATTTCGTCTAAAAAAATGTTCGTTCTAAGCAGGATTAGAAATTTTCGTTTGTTTCAATTTCATTCTGAGCAGCCATTTTGCACATGTGGCATTGAGGAAACACCTTTTTCGTTTGAAAATTATTTGTTTCCACAAGGAATGAGAATCAAAAGAACGAAATTAAACTCTGATGGAATATACCCACTATACAGTAAATTTTGCAAAATTGGTAAAATTTCTAATTTACAGATTTCAATTCTACTTTGTAGGCTTGTATTATATTAAATGATTTTCACAAATTATTTTTGTGAATCATGAAAAATTATACCGCTCAAAAACACTTATACAGCAAAAGGAGAAACATGGAATTACTAAGTTAATATCACAAATGTCAATTATAATTATCACAACTAATTACTAATAATATAAATGATAAACCCTATCCCATAGTATCCCCTTCCTTCTCTCACCTTTGTTAGCTTGTACTTTATTTCTAGTGACGTTGACAAAATCCTCAGCTATCATCATAAAAAGGTAATCTATATTATAACCAGTTTTGGCTGAAGTCTCAACATATTTTGCTGAAATTTCTACAACAAAAAGAGAGAGAGAGATTAAAAATAATAAAGATAAAAGAAAAACAGAAGGACAAAAGCAAAGAGATACAATATCACAAAGGATAAATCAACAATCAATTCCTTACCGTCAGCATATTCCTTAGCACTGCTGGCATCAACCTTTCTAGCTTTCTTATTATCCTCTACTAAATCATACTTTGTTCCACAAAGGTATATCACACAATCCTACACAAGACATGATGTCACAATATAAACTTGTAGTAGAGCTAACTCAGTGACTCAAGCCCTTATGTCAACAGCTAATATAAACAGGACAATAAGGAACAAGGCTTCATTAAAATCATTCCAATTCTTTTGATTAGATTTCAAAAGTTGATTTTTCCTTATAGAATAATTTTATAAGGGAAAGGACTTCAATATTTGTATACTCTAATTGCTTATTGATTTCAAAGGATTAGAAGTGGCTTCTTCTCTCCTTTATACTCAATTTCCCCATCTTTCCCCAGGCACAGTACATGTATGTATGATCCCTCAGTTCCCTAGTCTTAGTATTCTCCTTTCATTGCTGCTTACCTCTTCTGTCTGCTTTAACTCATTCACCCAAAACTTGGCTCTTTCGAAACTTGAGGGGTCAGTCAGGTCTACAGAGAGAGAGGAGAAAAGAAAAGAGGAGAAAAGAAAAGATATAAGAGAGTTTGTGCAAGTGAGAGGAACAAAAGGACGAGGACAAGATAAAGTACATGAGTAAGGAAGATTTTGAATTTGTCCTCAATAGAATCCAAAAGCTTCATTGCTTTCTATAACAAACTCATCAATGAAAAAAATGAAAGAGTCTATGAGAGCAAAGAATTAAGCACAAGAGATGGACAGAACAATATCCAGTTAGTAGTACATGTACATATACATGTATATTTTATAATGATGTAATTTGTACACAATTGAACTTACCAAAACACACAATTGCTGACTTGGCACCTCTGTAGTATATTCTACTCATTGACTCGTACCTCTCTGAGCCAGCAGTGTCCTAATGGAGGGAGAGGGAAAGAGAGAGATGAAGAGAGAGAGAGAGGGAGAGAGAGAGAGAGAAAGGAACATGAAAAAGAGATAAAGAGAGAAAGGGGGAAAAGAGAGGAGATGTGATTAAAACAGACATTAAATAATAACAAATAAACACAACAGCATCACTATAATACACACAATTAATGACTAGTTTTCAATAACAGAATAACTGTACTACTGGCAACAGTTCAAAATGAATCTTATGACCACCTGATCCTATAGCAGTTGCATGTATTAGTATATTATAGTATGCAGTGAGTGTGTGGGCTAACACCTAGACATTGTGTATCTTTCAGTTCATCATTGACTGCTTCTTGATCCTTCATCACACGCATAATGAATAATAAATTATGCTGCTCTTCAGTTCTTATACACAAACACATTGACTTTTAAAATTGCACACATCTCTCACTCTCTCATAGAGTCACACATTGTGTAGTTCTTCCATTACGTTACATACATGTACATGTACATACCCTTCTCTCTCTCCCCCTCTCCTAACTCACCCATATCCCTAGTGTCACACTCTCTCCATTCACTGTGACTTTCTTGGCTCCAAAAGCTGCTCCAATCGTCTATAATGAAACAAAAATATCAATAACATACATGTGTGTGTGTGCACTTATTAAAAGTAAAAGAATTATCAAAAGCATAGACACCAGCCATCTGCCAATAAATTATATATTTATACAGGTATAGTACACAACACTACCATGCAGGAAGGAAGGGAATGAATGTCACTAGATCTATACCATGACTAGAGCTATACCAGGAGCCAATGACACATTGACACTGTACAGTAGCTAATAGTTACACCACTAATGATGTATAATGTGGATCAATGTATAAAACCCCTAAAGGTCAAATCACCTCCTAATGATTAATCTATACATGTACATGTATGTGAGTATGTAGTACACACACACACACACACACACATATGTACTATTGTATTATATACACAAGAGAGTATAAATGTGTAACAGTAAAAGGGTCTTGTCATGGACATAATGAGACAAACACTAAAAGCACAATACAATACTAAGGAACACCTCTCTCAATACTCGTAATGTAATAGCATATGAAAAATGATCACCTAATCACGTCACATGTACTGCATGAGGCAGTGGTGAGTGGTACTTTCCTCATAGTTTTGAAACAAAATAATAAACTGAAGAATATACAAAACATGTTAGTAGTGAATGATACATTAACTGATGAAGGCTACAACAAATAATCCAAACAATAGCAAATGGTATGAGACACGAAAAATGAATCATAACTTAATAATAAGCCAAATTATGAAAAAACACAGTAAGTTTTAATGGTTAATGCCCCTCCCAAATAATAAATTTTAATTACAGTTTATTATTAAGAGGTTTAGAAGTGAATAAATGAACACTTTAACTGCTTTTTATAATAAATTATTGTCAGGGCAGTGTTCAGAGAGCAAGTAACACAAGAACATACTTAAATGTATTAAACTGCTACAAGCTATCATACTTTGTTATAAAATACTGACACTAAAGTAATAATCAGTTTATCTGTATCCCACTCATGTCCTAAAGTGACTCAGCATGGGCTGTTATAAAGTATACTTACACTTTGATATGGGGCTTGGGCATTGAACTTCCCGTGGATGTATCTCTCCACTAGACTGGTTTTACCGCCATACTCCTTGCCAAGAAGAACCACCTTCAAGTCTACCTTACCGGCCATTAGCCTCCTTCCTCTCCCTCGGCAGAGAGTAACGAAAAAGAGGGGGAAAGTGAGAGAAAATACAGCAACTTGTGCCGATATTTCAATTTAAAGGGGCGGGGACAACTTAACTCAGAGGGCGTGGTTAGCAAATTTAAGGCGTGGAAATCACACTAAAATAAATCATTATTAACATAGATAAATTACATGATTGCATAGATAATAATAATTATCTATGATGACTCAATAACAATAAATGTTTCCTTTTCTTCATTGACATCAGTTGTTCTGACTTTCTTTGCTTTCTTTTGCTTCTCCCTCAGTTGCTCCTCCTTCACTAGCTCCACTTTCACTTGCTCCTCCAGTTGCTCCTTCACTTGCTCCCTTTTCACTTGCCATCTACAAAATAAAAGAGCCAAATCTAAATTTGACATTCTGGAACAAGTTTCTAATTTTTTATTCATATATGGATTGTAACAACTATCTAACCTTCTTGTAAGCACTTTCAAAGAGTTTCAAGGACAGTTTTTGTACTTCATTAGCTGCCTCTCTTATCGATTCAGCAGTTTCATTGTCTTTGTTGCTTAGCTTGGCCCTTGCCTTCTCAATCTCTGTCTTTAAGTTACTAACCTACACACACATAATGGAAAAATAATACATTTCCTTTACCCCTTATATTAGATGCATAAATCAATTCATATTTTCAATCTATACATGTACATTGATACATTCCCCCAGTACTGTAGTTATGTTACTCTTACCTCATCTGCTGGCAGTTGATCTTTATATTCTTCCATTTTACTTTCAGTATCATGAAGGATGCTCTCTGCAGCATTGGAAGCCTCAATTTTCTCCTATAGGGACCATAAAAACAAAGCAATGGCTGATAAAGACTGACTTTGCGTATCTGATCTTCCTGTGCATATTTCTCTGCATCTTTGACCATGTTCTCTATCTCATCCTTAGTTAGACCACCACTGCTTTGAATGACAACTAAAATAGAAAATGAAATTATAAAAAGCAACATTAGCTCATTAAGCTCTTGTTTCTCTTTCTCATACTTTGCTGTTCTTTCCCAGTCCCTTTGTCTTTGGCTGATACACTAACAATCCCGTTAGCATCAATGTCAAAGGACACTTCAATCTGAGGGATACCACGAGGTGCTGGAGGGATGCCGATGAGTTGGAAGCGACCCAATACTTTATTATCAGCTGCCATCTCTCTCTCTCCTTGACATACAACTATTTCAACAGAGGTTTGTCCATCAGCAGCAGTTGAGAATACCTACAAAAATTAATAAGAGTCTCATTCACAGGGTTTCACTACAGCATGCTAAGTGAGCTAGACTGCATGAGCTTCATGAGCACTACAATACAGTACATGACATTTGGAGCAACTTCAAAAAATTCATAAAAAATCCACGTTTGATGAGAATCAGCTCAAAGTTGATACACAACATAAGAACATGTATATGTATCAGAAAAAATTATAAAATTGAAGAATTCTCTCCTTGACATTTTTGGCAAAATTTGACTAAAGACCCAAGGCTATAGTCTTTGGTTGTTGGCAGGATTTTGAATGACTTCAAAAAATCATAAAAAATTCAAATTTGATCAAAATTAGCTCAAAATTGATACACAACATGAGAACATGTATATGTATCAGAAAAAATTATTAAAAAAGAGAATTCACTCTTTGCTATTTTTGCCAAAATACCCCAGGGACACAGGATCTTAGGCCCAATTCTTGACAATCGGAGGCCAATCAGGTAGTTTCCTCAACAATGACAGCAATATTCATTTTTATAATTTTTGTAAACAGAAGTGCTTATTTCACATTATTTGACAAGCAAATATGCTCACCAAATGCAATCCCAACATAAAATAGTTACAATATGTAGTTTGAGCTCTTTTGACAAAAATATATTATTTTTAGAAGTTGCTGCAAAGGCAATGGGTGCACATCCTCCCTTACCTGCCCCTTCTTGGTGGGTATGGTTGTGTTCTTTTTAATGAGACGAGTGAATACTCCTCCGAGTGTCTCAATACCCAGTGACAGTGGAGTAACATCAAGCAAGACTACATCACTAGTCTGACCAGTCAGAACTCCACCCTACAATGTATCAACAGCACAATAAGTTAGTAATAATCATTATACTTGTATGGCGGCTCCAATGGAAACAGCTTCATCTGGATTAACCGATTTACTTGGAGGACGACTGAAAATATTTTTTACAGTTTCTTGAACCTAAATAAAGCACAATACCTTTATGAGCGTTAACATTGGACACATACTTTAGGCATTCTTGTCATTCCACCGACAAGTAAGACCTCATTGATATCGCTGATAGTTACATCGGCATCTTTGAACGCTTGATGGCATGGAGCAACAGTTCTCTCAATGAGAGATGAGACGAGAGACTCAAACTTTGATCTCGTAAGTGTAACGTTTAAATGCTTGGGAACACCAGCATCCATAGTGATAAATGGCAGACTGATATCAGTCTATGGAGAATAAACATAATATTAAATCAATAATACAAACATGACTCTTTCATATAATTCTTTCTCACCTGTAGTGAAGAAGAGAGTTCAATCTTTGCCTTTTCTGCTGCCTCTCTCACTCTTTGTAATGCCATCTCATCTTTAGAAAGATCAATGCCTTGCTGAGGGGGCAGGAAGGTAAAAGAAGGGTGAAAAGGAGAGTAATGACAACAAGGACTTACATCTCTTTTAAACTCGTCAACCAAATATTTCACAAGTACATTATCAAAATCTTCCCCACCAAGGAATGTGTCCCCATTAGTTGACTTGACCTGTAATAATAATCCATGTGAACATCACATGACCACATCATGTGAAATATCTTCATATTGTACCTCAAAAACTCCTTTCTGCATTTCCAGTATTGATATATCAAATGTACCTCCACCAAGATCATACACACCAATACTGTGAGAAATAAGAACAGAACAATATTTTATAGACATTTGTTGTGGAGGAAGATTTAATTGGCTCACATCTTATTAGCATCTTCACTCTTAAGTCCATAGGCAAGAGCAGCTGCCGTTGGCTCATTAATAATACGCTCAACCTTCAGACCAGCAATCTGACAAGCATCTTTAGTAGCCTTTAGAGGGAAGATAAGATTACTAGATCTATTACTTAAGCTGGTGTGTAATGTGTATAGATTAAATCACAGGGTCATGTGCCTAATAGTACTTCATTATGTAATCAATGCCAAAGCTGCACATGATAAAAATACTACTCATCCTTACTTGTCTCTGTGAGTCATTGAAGTAAGCAGGTACAGTAACAACAGCATGATCTACCTTTTGTCCGAGATAAGACTCTATAGAGATACAATGAGTGTAACATTGACCTCAATGATTCACATTGTCCACCCAACCTGCAGTTTCTTTCATTTTTATGAGGACAAAGGCACCGATTTGACTTGGAGAATAAACTTTACCATCTGCTCCTTTTAGCCAAGCATCGCCATTAGTGGCACGTATTATATCAAACGGTACATGCTTCCTACAGAAACGATTGAGAAGGATAACAATGACCAATTGCATCATGCAGACCTTAATACATTAGTGTGAACATAGTTTAACTATAGTAGGCATTTTTTTCAATAAAATTAGAGTTGCACCGATATTGTGATTGGCTTATCAGATATCGGCCTATTTTGAGAATATCGGTTATCGGTTACAAAAAAGCTACCGATTCCGATGTTATAACACGTGGTATTGCGCAAGCTCAGTGAGTCCACCTGCATAAGCTTAGCTAACTTATTACTGTATCAAAGATGTCCAAAAAAACAATCATGTATATGGGACTATTACAAAACTAGTGAAGACAGTAGATTTGATGTGTGCAATTCTTGCCAGAAATACTACTTTTAGGTAAAAGAAACTTTGGTTGTATAAATTACGTTCATGATTAAAGTTTATTAATAATTACTTAATAAACTTTAATATTAGTTATTAATAACGGATCAGTTATCGGTATCGGTCTTCATTGGCAATAGAATATCAGTTATGGGAATATCGGTAAATTTCTGTATTGGTGCAACTCGAAATAAAATTATCCAATTACACACACTATTGTCCCTCAACCATTTCTTACATTTCCTTTTGGATTTCCTTGTCATCATACCGGCGTCCAATCAAACGTTTTGTAGCATAAAAGGTATTCTTGGCATTTGTAACAGCTTGTCTCTTAGCCAGTATACCAACTGACCGCTGACCATCTTTAAAGGATACAACGGAAGGTGTGGTACGTGAACCCTCAGAGTTCTCTATGACTTTAGGATCTTTACCCTCCATCACCGCAACACAGGAATTAGTTGTGCCTAAATCTATACCAATGATGCGAGAGGGTTTGCTACAAGGAGAAAAATATACATGACAAGAGATTAAATATTTAGCGTCCCGTTACATACCGTATAGCTGAAAATTTTGGACGAAGTTAAATTTGGCGAATTGCTAAAATTTTTGGTGATTGGCAAATTTTAATTTGGCAAATTTGTGGTCATGTGCCATTGAGCATGTGCATAATGGCTAATAATGGTGGATTTTTATTTTGTCAAATGGCTATCAAAATGCCAAATTTAATTCCCTATAAAATTTCCCGCTATATGGAGGCTAAAGTACGCCAAACAGGCAGATTATCTTTTTACTTTTTATGTTACAAAATTAATCTTTTTCATACAAATTAGATAATGCATAATTTACGTGGGCAAATAGAAAAAACAATAAAATAAATCAGCTCAAACATCCACCATTAGAAAGTGAAATTAATAAAACAAAATTTTAACCCTACCCCACAACGTATCAATGAGGGTGTAATTTCTCAGTGGAATTTATTCTTGTTAACCTGAATGAGGCCACTTGACGATGTATAACAAAACATACCTCGAGTATCTGTTCAACTGAAACAGAGAAGCTGATACACTTCGTGGAACCTAAAAAAATAAACAAATTTGATGATCAAAACACATTCTAACCTTTCTCGAAGCCATGCCTGAGGCATGAAGGATCCTAGAAGCGAGTGAAAGTGAAGTATGTAGCCTGGACATTGTATGGAGAAGACTCGAGAAGACTTATGTCAGTTGATGCAACGTGTACGTGTAAGGAGTGCCCATGCCCTCGAGGAATCACGTGCGATGACTGCCTAGCGAGCATGCGCAGTATGAACACGTGCGCTGCATGTAGATCTAGATACCAATCACGTGATGTGAGGAGCTGAGATATTAATTATAGCGGAAACTGCTGGGTTTTGTGGTTTTGTTCATTATAAACTTTTGTAGATAATTAATTTGTTATCAGAATGATTGATGTCTGTCAATGGAGAGCAAATATTGGACTTTGGAATTACGGTCAAGCTCAAGCTGCCTCCAGTAGACCAGCTAAATTTAATGGGCTCCGCCACGGTTCACTGTCAGCATTCAAAGCTGCAGTAGACAACAAATCGGGCAGTACTACATCAGGCTCGACATCAGGAGACATGGCTAAACTGCCAGTACCTCTGTCTCTTAATACTTTCCTCCTCTTCCTCTCTCTCTATTTATCGATACACAGTGACACCTTGATGATCCCTCCCGGTAAATCACAACTCAGTAGCCATATCATAAACGTACTCTTGTTTTAGGTAACTGCGTGCAATGTACTACTGGTGCACTTACTGATACAAATTACCTCCACTCATCATTAGTCTTACCTCGAGGCAGTACTTCTATTCTGATTTACAACGGTCTCTATTATTTGATTGTTTGTCTATGTATGCTCCTCCTCTTATCAGGAGACGTTGAATGCAATCCTGGTCCTACGATTGATGATCGACCGGAGATATCGTTGCTAATTCAATGGCTTGAACCACTCGTGGATTGGCAATCATTTGCTTGTTGCTTACCTGGAATAACACAACATGATGTATCAATTATCGAAGCTGAGAATTCCACAGTGAATGATAGAAAAAGGAAGTTATATTCGAAATGGGATTCTGTTTATTCTGAAGCAACTTGGAAGGATGTCATTACTGCATTGAGGATTAGAAGAGAAAATACGCTTGCACAAAATATCAAAAAAATGATTGAAGCATCAGTACCTAACATTAGTAATGGAGCTTTTGTGAGTACTAAACAAAAACAGGAAATTAAGTTTAGCACAAAAGAAGATGAAGAAGAAATTTCACATTCACTGATAGAGCTCAAAAAGACATTTACTGATCTAGACATGGAGGTACGAATAGCTTTTGATGAGAAAGAAGCCTCTGATCCAAAGCTACTCATTAATATAACGAGATGGATTGAAACTTACATGAACTGGAGTGACAAACTAACAAATGCATCATTAAATGAAGCTTTCAAAATTATTCATCCGTACTATGATTTCATTGACTGCAACTTAATAGTAGATTTAAGTGAAAAATTTTTGAGAGGTGTTACGTTTGGTGAAAATGAGCTGAATATAGTGAACGAACTACAAAATCACAAAAAAAAAGCCGACGCATTTCGATCTTCAAGTAATGTAGCACTTCTTCACAAGTCATTAAAAAACATTTACCAAGAGCACATTCCAGATTTAGCTAATATGCCTCATGTTATTATACACCTTCATAATCCATGGTATGGTAGTAATCTAAACAGTTTAGGTCTTCTAATTAAACATTTGCTACCAGTAGGACTCGTACAATCATTATTAAAACATATAACAATTCTTAGTGGATCAGTGGTAATTAAATACACAGTACTTGACTCTACAGCTGATAATCTAATAGAATATACTGGAGGAAAGTTACAGTTTATGCGTCTCATTGGTATATTTAGTTTATACATTAACGACCATCATATCCTTCGAGATGATGAAAATATGAACTTCACCTTTGACCTAGCTCTTTTTGAAGCAGTCATAGCTGGTAATAATGAGGCAGTAGAGTTTCTTCTTCAACTAGAGACTGTTAATATTGATCATACTAATGAAGAAGGCGAAACAGTTTTAATGTTAGCTTGCGAAAGAGGACATAAGGACATTGTACACAGTTTACTGTTGGCTAGAGCTAGTGTTAACATTCAAGACTATAATGGATGGACTGCACTAATCATGGCAAGTGAATATAATCACATTTCAATCATTCACATGTTACTACAAGCTAATGCTAATCCTCACCTGAAGACATCAGATGAATCAAATGCTTTAATGATTGCTAGTTATCATGGTAACAAAGAAGTTGTTGAACTATTGATTCATAAAGGAGTTGATTATAAATATCAGCAAGAAGATGGTTGGAATGCTGTTATGTTAGCTTGTGAAAATGGCCACACTCAAATAGTTGAACTGCTGTTGAAGAAACAAGTTGATCCTAATGTTCGAAACAATGATGGTTGGAATACTTTTATGTTGGCTTGTCAAAAAGGTCACACTCAAATAGTTGAACTGTTGCTGAAGGAACAAGTTGAACCTAATGTTCAAGATGCTGGGAATGCTTTTATGTTGGCTTGTCGAAATGATAATATTGAAATAATTGAACTTTTACTTAAGGAACAAGTTGTGGACCCTAATATTCAAGACAGAAAAGGTAATACTGCTTTAATGATTGCCAGTGCTAAAGGACATTACGAAGTAGTTAAGTTATTATTAGAATGGAAAGCTGATCCAACTATTAAAGCGAATAAAGGCCACACTGCCTTAGAGGTTGCAAAAACAATTGAAATATCTGTATTACTCAATAGATACTTAAGAAAACATATAGAACCAAAAAAATATGCCACTATCACATCATATCAATGCCAAATATGTGGTAAGTATTTTGGAGGGCCAATCTTTTCTTCGACTATCTTAAAATGTCTTGAATGTCAACAAAAAGAAAAGGCTAAAGAAGAATCATTCAAAGCTAAGGCAGAAAAGGAAGAAAAAGAAGCTTTATTTAGAATCGAGGTTGCAAAAGCTAGGCAGGAAGACATTCAAGAAGATATAGCCCAATTAACATATCTTATGGAAGGTAAACAAGAAAAAGAAACTGAATTAGAGGCTCAAACAGATATGACTGATGCTCTAAAAGCTACACAAGAAATAAAAAGGGCAGAAATAGACAAAAAGCTGCAACCATTTATAGGTGAATTAGAAAATGTGAAAAGGATAAGGTATCACGAAAAGATGTGTGATATCAAAAATTTTGAGCAGGATGAAGACAGGGAAGTAATGGGAATTGAAGCTAAGAAGCTTGCATTAGAAAAGGATATTATGAGAGCTGAAAAGGAAGAGCCGTTGGAATTAAAGGTTCGATCAAATGAAGAACTAGTTGCTTTTGAGGAACACATGAAAAAGAAATATTTAGCAGTTACTCTAGTTGAAGAAGAAAGGAAAAGAAAATTAATAGATCTAGAAGCTGAAAAAGCAGAAGAACCTGATATGGTGCTGAAAATCAAACATGAGTTGGCAAAAAAGCAACTTCAGTCAAAACTGGAGAAAGAAAAGGTCCTGCATGAAGCAGAAATAAGAAAGGAACATGATTTATCAGCAGTAATTAGAGCAATGAAAGAAAAGATTGCCCAAGTTGAAAAGGCCACAATGCTAGAGAAAGAACTGCAACTAAAAAAGGAATTAATTACAGCAGATAATGCAAAAGCCAGGCTGGAACAGGAAAAAGAAATACAGATGGCAAAGGAGATGTTGAAAAAGCAAGCAGAAATAGAATACAAGGAAATAGATGACATTAAGAAAAAGGAAATGGTTGGTAAAGAAATTATGAAAGTGAAGGCCATATCTCAGAAGCTTTTGGATATTGAAGCGAGTAGTACAGTTTGTCAAATGGAAGACAAAAGAATGTCCTATAAGATGAGAGAGGAGTTTCTTAGCCTAGATATTAGTTCTAAAGTTGATAGTGGTAATGAGGAAGAAGATTCAGAGGAATCACAGGAAAAGGAACCTGAAGCAATTAAATACGAGTTGCACTTTGATCCAAAATTTGATGCCATGTTCTAGTATAGTACCTATAAAACATTGCACATCCATATAGTTAATTTATAGTATTGAGCTACTGGTACTTTTTATTTGAATTTAACATGTTTTGTATAAACTGTTTTAATTTCAGCATCCTTTTTGTCAGTCTTACCTGCAAGTAATATTATATTATTTTTGAATTTAAGTCTGACATAATCAGTAAAATAGACACTGAAATGTATATAACCTTTTGAGGTCAGTTCATTGAGAGCATAGCAGCTCTATAGTATAGCCTTGCCTCATCATTACAATGCTGGAAGCTTCCTTACATTATGTACATTTGCATATGCATTCCTTGCCGAGTCTTTGGACAGCATTTCAGTCTTATCTGCATGGTTGCAGGTAAATTGCCTTGCACTGAACTAAGAGCTAAAGTATAATATAATCTCACAATGTACACAATCTAATAATAAATAACAAATGATTACAGATTTCTACAGTTAAATGAATTTAAATTTTGCTAATTTTCTGTTACTAGCTTTTTCTGAGTATATAATTATTTCATTTTGAATATTCACTAACTGTTGAGGTAAATGTCAAGATTATAACAGCAACTATTATTGCTACAGCCTGCACACCAACAACACTCAGTCCAAAGGCTCCTGCATGCAAGAGATTATCAGATAACTGCTGAGTAACAAAACTCAAGCAACCGCCACCATAAGCACTGGTAATAGTTGATGAATTGCGGCCACAGAGTATGTCTGTTGTATTCTTGCAGCAAGTGGAAGGAAATACAACTGAATCATTACGTATTTCTCCAATCCAATCTCTTGCTCCATTGACACCACAGCATCCATTTTCTTGCTGTAAATTGTTCCAAAAATCAGTGACTAGAGTACCTACTTCACTGTTCATTCCATAGTATTTCATAGTCTCATTCAGCCCCTCACTTGCAATAGATTCTACTTGCTCACGGAAAACAAAAGTGGCCATTGCTCCTGCCATTTGACCCAGGACCACTATAAATGCCAAAATGATGTAGAGACCCAAGGAGTACTTGTTGATTGCATTTTTCCCATTAACTCCCACAAAACCAAATAATCCAATTAATGAGACCAGTATGCCAACACAAATGATCAGATAAGGTCCATAGTTCAATCTTGAGCTGTCCAGTACTTCCTTCAGTGATTTATATTGCAGCTCTAACCAAGTACCAACTCCTACTATCACCAAACCAAATAGAAGGATTATAATTTGCACAATTACAAATACAAGATTGATTGCTGTAAGGAGCAGCTGCAGCACCATTATTGCATTTAATTTTAATTTATTGGTAATTAATGAGTAGGCGTGGTTTTAGGTTTATTTAATTGTTTAGGGCGTGGCTGAGAATACTGGACGTCAAAATGGCTCGACTCCAGCTACGAGTTTTAAAGATTTGTAGCGGCCCAGCGTCTATAAGGCTATCATCAATAATCAGATAGTAAGGCCTAAGTTCTAATAGTATATTTTAAGCAAAATAATTCCAGCTCTAGTACAATAGTTTTTGTAAAAATAATAATTATACATTATAATACTCTGATTAATTAACCACCTACTATGTTATTGCATTACCAATCATTATGTTGCCTCAGACATTGTTAGGAATGTGTTGTTGGAATCTCAACGTTTTACCCTCTTTACTTGTCCAACGTCTAGAGGTGGCTCATATTCTATTTAATGCACATCTAGTGCACCTCTTAGCATGTGCAGGGACACTTACATTGCTCTGAAATCACGTCCCTCCCATTTTATTGCATTTTATGCATAAATTGCTTTGTAAAAGTTGTTTCGAAACTTTGAGCTGATTCCGATCAAAATTGATTTTTAATGAATTTTTAAGTTGTTCAAAAATTGGGCCAAAGACCCTATACTGGACCAAATTTTGTCAAAAATGAGAAGAGAGATTCTTCATTTTTATATAAATTACAGGTCATAGAATACTTTGTTGTTGCATTCATTTGTTAATTTTTTGTTTTTTTTCTTCTACCTACTGTAGTAATGGTGTATATATAAGTAGATGTTACATAAGTGGATCTTTATTTCACTCGTCAAGAGAAACTGTACAGAAACTCCTTCCATCAAGAACCCATCAGTCTATATTTAATGCTCCTCACTCGTCTCTGAGAATGTTTTTTCCACATGTATCCAGCACTTCCTGTATTCACACCTCTTCATCATTCAGCGAAGAAGAGAAATCAGTACTTGAGAAGGCAGTGACTTCACTTAAGGAACGGAAGCAGCAAAAGGTTTGAACTTGTAAAATTTAATTGTGTTGAGAAAGCTCCTATGAATATTTGCAATAATGGGCAGCTATCCAATTCTTTCTCACAAATATCATAATGATAGTAATTTTTAGTGCATTGTGTAGTAGTAGTAGTCTAGTAGTGCATCCATTTAATTTTATTTTGATTTCTTTCTATTCCTTTTTTATACCTGCATGTACATGTACATGTATACAGTAGCTACATGTACCAGCCTGCCGCCATAAAAATTCCTTAAATATTCTCTCTCTCTCTCCCTTCTATCCCCTCCTCTTATTATACACATGTACATGTACTTTTTAAAAATCCCTCCTCTCTCTTCTCTCTCTCCCTCCCTCCCTCCCTCTCTCTTTCTCCCTCCCTCTCTCCCTCCCTCCCTCTCTCTCCCTCTCTCTCTCCCTCTCTCTCTCCCTCTCTCCCTCTCTCTCTCCCTCTCTCCCTCTCTCTCTCCCTCTCTCTCTCCCTCTCTCTCTCCCTCTCTCCCTCTTTTAGGCAATAGAGACTCTCATTGATCCTCATTCCTCTTCTTCAGTCTCTCCATCAGCAGCAAAGGTCAGTCAATCCAAGCCTCCGCTATTGACAAGAATTAAGAACGAGATCATTCATTATTATCATGGGTTCCGTTTGCTTGGTCTTGAGATCAGCATCGCTTCTCGTCTGCTCCGGAAGACTCTTCGTGGTCAATCACTGTCACGCCGTGAACTGAAACAGGTAATGGAAATTAATGTCCAGCACATGTAATCAAATGTATACCATATAGTGCTTTAATTTCAAGGAGCAAAACTTTCACTGTTTTTACGGTTTAGCATGCAACCATGAATTAAATATTCACTAAATATTCAATTGCCATTAAAGGTGTGGCACTAAAATTGTGAATCTGCAAAAGTTATTTCCACGAAAAATTGATTTTTATCAATTTGTGAAATTTTAACTCCGCAAAATGAAAGTGCTATACCGTATGTAAGTGCATGTACATGTAGATGTTTTAGTGTTATTTTTATTTTTGCTTTTTTAGTTTAGAAGGACCGCCGGTGATGTGTTCCGGATTGTTCCATTCTCTGTCTTTATTATCATTCCTTTTATGGAGTTCCTGTTACCTGTCTATCTGTGGCTGTTCCCTAAAGCACTCCCATCAACCTTTCAGAGCAAATCAGCCAAAGTGAGAGACACCTTAACCTTATTCTGTTTCAAGCAACTTTTCAATAAATTGACCTTTCATTGGCCTCACTCTTAATTTAGTTTAGTTACACGTAGTATAGTTTCTATCTTTTCAATTATGATGTGTTATGTACCTAAACATTTCATATCGTAAAGATAATGATAGCCATGTTAGGGAGATCCCACATGTATGTAGTACATGTAACTAAAATTTGATTTTTTTTATCGGGGAATTATTTAATATTCTATATTGTGTAAGGGCATTGTTAATACACATGTACATGTATGTGTACATGTACATGTAGTTATTTGGTCAAGTGTATCTGAAAATCCCCATGCTAACCATTGGCTTATATCTACATGTACCATGTATGATAGCAGTAGTAGCACTGCTGTGTTTGTGTTTCACTCATGGCTTAATTCCAACAGGATTTTGGCATAGTGCAGTGGAATTGTCAAGTTGCTCAAAAAATTTCACAAAAAATTACTAGGAGATAATTTTTTATTTTTATAATTTTTTCTGATGCATATGCTTGTCCTAATGTCTTGTATAAATTTTGTCCGATCAAATTTGAATTTTTTTTGGAATTTTTAAAGTTTGTCAAAAATTGGGCCAAAGTCCCTGTACTATAGTACAGCAAATTTTTCCAAAAGTGACTAGGAGAGAATTCTTTTTGAATTTTTTTATGAATATTTTTGAAGTTGCTTCCAATGCTATGTACTGTATTGTAGTGCTTGTCAGCTCATGAAGCTCATGCTGTTTAGCTCACTTAGCATGCTTTGTGGGAAAACCCTGGTTTCACTTAAAATAAAAATAACATTATTGTTATTAATTAAAAAAATTTTTTATTATTAGGAAGAGAGAAAGAAGAAGGAGTTACGTGTGAAACTACAAATGGCTAAATTCCTCCAGGACACTGTTGAGGATATGTCAGTCTCCAGTAAGAATCCAAAGAAAGCAGAAGCAGTTAAGAATTTTGTGGAATTTTTCAAAAAGGTAATCAAATTTTCATTTATGTTTTATTAATTGACTTTAAAAAAGAAAAATTAATTTATAAAGTACAAAAATATTTATTAAAATAATGGGAATAAGAAACTATAGTACTCATTTTTGTAAAGTGAAATGAATAAATATTTAAAGCTTTAAAAGTTGCTTTGTACAATAACACACCTGAATGTATTTTGCATCTTGAAAGCTTTAATTGTTATTTATTTTACTTATTAATTAGATAAGGACCACTGGTATGCAAGCAACCACAGAAGAGATAATAACTTTTTCTAAACTTTTTGAAAACGAGCTAACACTTGATAACCTTAGTCACAAACAACTCCAGGCCCTCTGTCGGTAAGAAAACAATGAAGGATTGATCTGTTCATCATGTATAATAGGAATAGCTTTAGAATTTGGTACAAGCACCCATTAGTGTTACATCATGTAATTATACTTTGCTTATAGACAGGTTTTAGTAATGCTTACATGTGTGTTAAAATAACATACATACAATAACAGTGGTATTTTGCATTTGTACATGTACTGTACCAACTACACATGTATATACATGTATCTTCATGTGTGTATTATTTGTATTTATGTATGTGCGACTTGTATACATACATGTACATGTTATATATTCATGTATTCGTGTATTATACATGTAGTCTTGTCCTCCTTCCCACCATTGGATCAAGTGCATTCCTCAGGTTTCAACTGAGAGTTAAGATGAAGAGGCTAGAAGCTGATGATAAGGTAACTGTGCCCCAATACAATAAAGATACATTACACATAACCTGATACCCTCCTGATATATGAGTAGTGGAGAGAAGGAGGATGAGAGGGGGAGGGAGGGTGGATATTTAAGCAGTTGTCTTATACAAACACTCACACAAAGATCCACTAACTGTGGCCTTGTGTATGGGTGGGTCCCTTTATCTCCACTGATATGAGTAACAACCAGTACATTATACTATGGACACAAAGCTAATAAAGCATTGATGTGTGTACATAATTCAAGGTGTGCCTGTGTATATGTGTATGTTCATTGATCTGTTGGTAGTGTGTTGTTTCTTCATTAGATGATACAGTCTGAAGGTGTTGAGTCACTGAGTGTGGCTGAGCTTCAAGCTGCTTCACAGGCTCGGGGTATGAGAGCCTTGGGAATGCCTCAACAAAGACTGGTATCACAATTACAACAAGTGAGACTTTAGAGGGAAAGGATTAATTAGTTATTAGTACTGTACATCATCAGCCATTGGTCTACTTATCCAGCCCATTGCACATTTCCATGTAATTCATAATAGCTTTTTTGATTATTGCATGGTCGTTAACATATTAATGCACACACACCATACCTTTCACATTAAACCACCCATCCAGTCATTAAACTTCCCATTACAAAGTCCCCCATCTACTACATGTACTGTATATGTATGTGTACATCTACATTTACATGCACATGTACATGTATGTGCATGTACGTGTACATCTACTACATCTACTGTGCATGTACGTGTACATCTACATTTACATGCACATGTACATGTACATGTAGTCATGTACATGTACATGTATACCGCTTATGTACATGTACAGTCCATTGTTTCTGTTAGTGTATTGGTACTACTGTGTACTGGAGGTACAATTAACAAGTATTATGTCAAAGGGACTGTAATCATATAATATCAATGCTGTAATTGATATGATGGATCAAGTAGCTCTGTTTTACCATCTGCAGTGCCTATGTATGTACATGTATATGTATCCAGGCTATTTGTGTATATGGGGATTGGTGTCTGGCTATAGTACATACTGTGGTGGAGTTGTGTACATACATGTACTTATATAGTGGCTTTAATCAGGTTAGCCCAGTACTATCTAGTGACTAATTAGGGGAAGTCTACTCATTTAGTATGTCTACAATATGCTTTTATGAATAACTTCTTACCGAGCGAGTGAGTGTAAAAGAGTTCTAGCAAGCATCTTCATTTTGATATATACACATACATGTACAACTGTATAATGGACCATGAGAGAGAAGAGTGGATGATTTTACATGTTCTCTCTCTCTCTCTCTCTCTCTCTCTCTCTCTCTCTCTCTCTCTCTCTCTCTCTCTCTCTCTCTCTCTCTCCCTCCCTCTCTCTCTCATTTATAGTGGCTTGATCTTCATTTGAATAAGAAGATTTCTATTTCTTTTTTGTTGCTCTCTCGTGCTCTTTATTTACCACAAGATGTACCTACGCCAGAGGTTTTGAAAGCAACTCTCTCTAACTTACCCGAGAATATTGTAAGGAGAGAGAAAAGGAGGAATTTGCATATTATTTTTAAAATGGCCGTAACTTGATAATTTTTAGCTGAAATCAGCTCAAACTTTCTACATAGCATTAGAGCATTAATGTGTATCAGAAAGTGTGATAAAAATTAGGGGTGGTTTTGGAGCCTTTTTTGGAAAAAAAAACATGGGCTATAGCTTTAGGTGTTTTTAAAAAATTGGCCCCATTTTCAAAATGGTCATAACTTGAAAATTTCTTATCAGAATCAACTCAAACATTTTACACAGCATGAGGCCATTAATATATATTAGGAAATGTAATAAAAATCAGGGATGAGTTTGTAGCCATTTTAAAGAAAAGACCATGTGGAGAGAGAATAGAATTGGATCAAGTGATGTACAAACCTTATTGATATTGGTATACTGTAGGTTGATGAAGCTGAGGTTATGGTTGCCTCAACATCTGGAGAGACAATTGACAACAAGCGAAGAGTTGATGTCATTAAACAGCAAGAGCAAATGATAAGAGAAGAAGAGAGAGAGAAAATGGAAAGGGAGAGGGTCAAGCTAGAGGAAGAAATAAAGGTAAGCTTATTGAACTGGTATTGTATGTACATGTACATGAATCTTGCGTGTTCCGGTAGTATAGTTGTTTTTGCATGTTGTAAGCATGTACACTTACACCGTGTACATGTACATACAGATGTACATATTAGGGAGTCATTTATAAGGTGTGTGTGCAATCGTGTGCATGTAAATGACATCATTTTCTGTCCCTGTATAGTTATGATACTGTATAAACTATAATATTATAGTATCTATTATGGTATTATATAACTAGTATACTCATACTTGCATAATCACTTATTGCCTAACCATGCAACTGTAGAGTGTACCTTCTTGTCATAAAATGTCCCAATCTTATTATCAATATTGAGTTATGACACTAAAACAACACACGTACATGTATACATGTAATAGTACTGATGTAAAATGTGCATGTTTATTCCAGTTAGCGATGTGCCAATATTCTACATTTACTGTACATGTGGTTACAGTTTTTTGTTCTTTTCCAGAGAGAGGCAGTGTTCCAGGATCCTTTGGTCTTTCCTGATATGAAGGAGGAGCCGTTCATATCAGTACAGGCTCAGGCCAATAAGAGCTTCACAGCTGAAGAGATACGGGAGATGAATGAAGCTGTGGTCTGTCTCAAGGGACTAGAGGAAGAGAAGGAGACACTGAGAGAGATAAAGGAAGACAGAGAAGAGTATTGTGAGGTTAGTGTGATTCTGTCTAGCTAATATACTCTTTCAATCACTTTTATTGCCTCTAGCAAGAATCATTCCTCTCCTACATGTATCTCTTGCTCTGTTTTAATTCTACTCTTCCCTTTTCTTTTCTTTCTCCCCTTTTTTATTTGCTCTAATTACTCTATAGCACCAATTGTCCTATTACATTGTTTAGCAGTCTTCTTTCTCTCTCATTCTCTCTCATTCATTCACGAAGCGACAATTGTGACTAATCAGTAAAATAAAACTGCTCAATATAGCCTGTTAAATCCTCTCCAGTAATCAGTCCATGTACCCACTTAGAAGCTTTTAAAAATGCTTTAAAAATTACACCCACTGTGTGTGTGTAAACGTGTGTGTGTGTGTGTGTGATGCTTTTATGCTGTAGGACATTCTAAATTAACAGAATTTGCTAGCTGTATTAGGAATGCCATTAGGTGGGTGGTAGTCTTGCTTGGTGACTAGACATGTTTTTTTAGTACTCTTGAATGTTGACTAATCATGGCAGTAGTCACTGCCCGTATATATTTCACTTGGAATCTCTCATGCATAATGATTTATTGAATTTCGTGTCTACATGATTTCCTGTCTCTGATCATTGTAATTGTGACCTGTTTATAAGCTACAGTATGTATATACATTTAATTATACATTTAGATAATGTGTGCGTGCGTGTGCGTGTGTTGGAATTTGTGTCCCTGTTTATATATGATGTACTACTCTGTGTGTGTGTGTGTGTGTGTGTGTGTGTGTGTGTGTGTGTGTGTGTGTGTGTGTGTGTGTGTGTGAGGTATGACTCTGTTTGTGTGTGTCTTAGTGCATGTCCTAGCATGTGATAAGTCGTCTATGCATATATGTACACATGTACTCTACATGTACATGTATGCTAGAAGACATTGCATGTGTGCTTATTATTAAGGAAGTTGTGAATGAAAAGTATGAGAATACTTCCTAATGATTTGCTTTTGATAGTAAGGATACTTTATGTGGTTAATGAACATGTACATATACTATTATTACAGTGTGTGTGGTTGTTTATAGTATTAAGTGTATGCTGCCCTGTGGTGGATTGGTGGTGATGCCCCCTGTAGCTATTCACAGAGCAACATGACAACATAACTCCTAACAACTAATTAGGATTGTTTCTTGAATGATGTTGGGCTGGGATGGCCTGTGTAGTACACATGTACACAGACCACAGTATATAATGGAGCCACTAGTCTAGGGGATTAGGGATTATGATTCACCTGATCAGGACTGGTGATCTCACCTTTGATCATATTTCCCTTGAGTAATGATTGAGTAGCAATGGGCCCTCTCCATTCCTTGTGTGTGTGTGTTTGTGTGTTTTTTACTTTTCATGTAATTGTGAATTTTATAATGAGTACATAGTGAGAACATTCTTTCCCAGCTCTCTCTATTATTATATATAATCCGATACATGTACGTGTACATTATGCTAGTGTTTCGTTATTCATTGATGCCACCTTTACCATGAGAGAGTCCTGGAATGGTGTGATATCATGTATCACCTGTGAATATCATCATAGCTTTAGTGTCTAATATCTCTCCTCCCTGGGAGACTATCAGTCTGGTAGTGAGATGAGTGAGTTTGTGGTCAAATATGCAATACATCTAATATTGTACATGTACATGTACATGTATTTATGCATATACTATTACATGTACATGTACATGTACATAACTGCAGTTCTGTATCTCATACTGTGTGACACTTTGGTTGCTCATTTCAGGTAACATTTTTATTATTAGTTATATTTATGATTCATAATCTTGATTCGCCGATAAAAATACCTTTCCTAGTCTCCCAGAGTTTTTAAGAGGATAATCATTATCACTCCTCATGAATATTCATGACAGCTTTGTATGTGGCATCTAATAGTCATGTATTTTTCTCATTCATAGCTCCTTTGATGTATTGTGTCCTTCAACCTAACATTGTGTGTCTGTATATTATGTTAAATATATTTCTTGTGTGGTAGCAGCTGCTCAAACATGATTATCTTTTTGAGGGCAAAGTGTCAAACTACATCATAATGTCTATGTATGCATGTAAATGTACGTGTCATCTACATGTATTATTTATTTATGTATACTATACCTGGAAATTCTCGTTGAGATGCAAAACATGATTTTGCAAAAAAAAACTAAAAAATTGATTTATGATTTCATCTAATGTAAGGTGGAGGCGTGGGATACTAATTCATAAAAATAGATTTTAATCTTGTTATTTATCGGTGAGGTTTGTAAACTTACCACATATGGTATGTGATACTGCTCTTGTTTAGTAGCTTTACAATCAGCTATAGTGTGTGGTGAGGTGTATGGTCCATGTATATTACTGACTCTGTGGTGTGTTTTGTAATCTCAATATTAGCTAATGCTTTTAACTTTGATGATCAAGTGTTTTGGCATACCATAGTTCATTGATATTAATGAGCTGCATCCTATTGTCTGTGCATACGAATGTATTAACTGTATGAGTGTCACTTTATATGTATTTACATGTATATAAGTTTACCTGTGTGTATGCAAGTGTGGTGTTTGTTTGAGAGAAAGAATCTATTAAAGTGATTGTGAAGCTGTAACTCGATCTGTTTGCATGTACATGTACAGTCCTTTCTCTTTGATCTCTCTCCCTTGTCTCCTGTTCACATCCTCACTCTTATTCATAGGATATCGCTGATCTTGCCCAAGAGTGTAAAGAAGGGGAGGAGCAGTTGGCAGAGTCAGTTGCCTCCCGTAGACTTGGTCGTAAAGTTGAGTCAATGCTCGGAACCATTGATCAGAGACTGGAAGTACTGGAGAAGGATTATGTAACTAGTACCAGTGAGGAGACACAGGGAGAGAACATAAGCATTAACATGTATGTACTACATGTACATGTATATACGCATATGTGTATGTGTATGTACTGTAACATGTACATGTATGTGTATGTGAATTTGTATGTGTATGTGTACCTTGTCCTTAAGGTGGATTTACAATATCACGCTAGTCCTGACGTTACATTGACACAGGAGTTGAATGTGGTTCAACTCTAGTGTAAAGCATGCGTGGAAAGATCGAATCGCCCACACTTTTGATTAAAAATTGACGTTACGTTGGCCTAGCGTAATATTGTAAATCTGCTTTTAAGGGCATAGTAAGTGTAGACTAAATTTTGATTAGAATTTTACTTATTTTAGCAGCATTAGATGTATTTTAATTTTGACTGGGCATGCAATTGAGTGATTATTACTTGGGAAAGTTAGGATGGAGGTAGTCATAATTAGCATTTAGCTCTCAAACTGAAAGAGTTTGAATTGGCATCAGTTACATACTAAGATATCAGAGTACAATAACAACAATGAACTGTTATTGTAAGGGAAGATGATTTAACGGTAAACATCAGGTTAACATGCAATGATGTATTTTTTAATATTATCAATCACAAGCAATGTAATATTAGTGTAGTATCAGGAACATGATGCTTGTAATAACAATACAAATGTACATACTATGATGCTTCCATCCTACATTTCCTGTATGTTATTACAAAAGTAACAAACACACATTGTATGTGCCTTTATGTAGGATTAATGGTGTCAGGTAAGTGAATGCATTTTAGCATACTAATTTCTTTAGTTGAATTCTTCTAATTTTATTGCAATTAAATGATGGCATTGTGACCATATCTTAGCTTCTAGTTGTACTCATAAATGAGCCCCATTATAACCTTGTTGTCTCTCACCTCACTCTCTCTCTCTCTCTCCCTCTCTCTCTCTCACTCTCTCTCCCTCTCTCTCTCTCTCTCTCCCTCTCCTACATTTAGTGGTGATAACAGTATTACTGTGGAGCAGCTGGATAAGGCATTGCTGGCACTAAGAGGCACTAGCCTTAAGGCAAAGCAGAGGTCATTGTTCTCTGTACTGGACGAAGATCACGATGGGAATATCAAACTTGATGAAATAGCAGAAGTGAGTAATAAAGTATAGTACTATTAGCCAATGACTGTGTATTGCCGATGGTTTCATTTGGCAGTGCGTTGGGCTATCGTAAAGAGTTAGTGTACATGTACATGTACACGTTGAAGTTGACACAAATTAAGAGTGTGATGAGGAAGTGTATGGTTTTTGCTAGTTAGCATGTGAAGTTTTTTCTTTCACTACATACCGTCAGATCATTTTAAAAAAGAGAACTGACGAAACAATTGTTGATTATAATGAGATATATATTGAAGTGTTATTATTATGTCTTCATGCTTATTGTGATAGTTACACTCTGCTTTATTTGTCCTAAAGGTTATTGAGGCTCTTGCTAATGAAGACACGGATATAAGTCAGGAACACATATCAGAGATAAAGCAGCTAATAAAACTAGAATCAAAAGAAAATAATAATAATAATACTTATGTAAAATAACACCAGTCTAATTAATATTCATTGATGTATTATAATTTTTAGATGAATAATATAGCAGATTATTATTAATGATTAATTATTATTCGGCTATTAAAACTTCGTCACGCATCCTTCCGCCTTCAGTTCACTTTTTTTCAGTTGTCGGGCTTTGTATAACCAATTTCAGTGTAATTTGTAACAGAAGAGTCCAAGTCTGTCTTCATAGAGATGGCCACAATGAAAACACTCTGGGTATCACTCGCTCTTTTATCTGTCCTTCTGGTGGCTGTTCAAGGTAAAGTTGGGCTGCGGGTAAAGACTCCTCAGTTCCCGGGGGAGTTTTTGCGCACAGCGTTTTATATTTTGGCTGAACAGTGGGCCATTGATATAGTGTGCTTTTTTGTTGCGAGGAGCGTACGAGTCTAGCTATAGAGAGAACTGGAGTACTGATATTTCAGAATAGTAGTGTGAAGTTTGGTTTGTATCATTATCGCTATTTAGCAGGCTCAGCCCCAAATACCCCTAAATAACAAGATTCTGGGTGTTAAATTCTCTTAGATTTGGACATAATTTGTGCCTTTCTGAACTCTAATATCTAATTATTTTATTTCTCTTTTTTTGTCTTGCCTTCCCTCCCTCCCCATCCTTAATGGCCCCTCCTCTGCTTTCTCTCCATTGCAGGCCAACGTGATTGCACGCCCGCTGATTTTACCATTCTGCATCCTGAATCTCCAATTTATTCCGTTCTGGAACAGAATGTTAGCTTGAGGGCTTTTATACCTGATACCACAATTATCCTCTACAAAGGCTTGGAAACTACTACTCCAAATCGAATAAACTGTGCAGTTTCCAAGTGCAGTCTTGATACAAATTCTGGAGAATTAACATTTCATAATTTCCAGCCATCGAATGCTAGTAACTATACGATGCTATTCACTAAGGGTGTCGATCCTACTTGTGTATACAGATTTGCTCTTGTGAAAGCTGGTAAGTTTATGCTAAGTCTCTGTTGTCAATCAATTATTGTTATTATTATTATTATTGTATGGTAGGGCAACTAGAATTTATATTGTAATGTACTATTTTGTTAACATTTTTCATTTTCCCATGGATTCCTTTTGCTCATTTGGTCCACAGAATAGTGCAATACATGTCACTAGTGACAATTTGTTGTCATGTTCCTTTATGTTCTTCTCTTTCTATAAAAGATTAGTCTCTCCCATATGTCTCATACTAACCAATGAGCCACTAGGCTCATTCCTTTGATGTGTTTTTATATTGTAACTTGTGAGTCACGCCAGGAATTCACTTCTGTAGTCTAGGTTGTGGTTTGTTCAAAGGTAGAGGAGAGGGGGCAGATGTTCCTCTCACTCAGCACATGACTCCATAATATTTACTACAAGATTGCCATTATGATATTCTTAAAAGAGAGAGAGGGGGAGATAGAGAGAGAGGGGGAGGGGGAGATAGAGAGAGAGAGAGGGGGAGATAGAGAGAGAGAGAGGGAGAGGCAGGGAGAGAGAGAGGGGGGGGAGAGAGAGGGGATTGATACTGTGTATATGGGATGGTGATAAAAGTGTCTGTAAGTAGATATGGATGGAGAGGGAGGGATTACATGTACATGTGGCTTATGTTGTAACTTTAAAACAGTTTTGGTGTTTATTTGTTTATTTTGGAGTCATGTCACAGTCTTGAGCCTAGCAGTGGTTAGCACAAGTTTACATTAAGTCATGTACTTTATATTGCTAGTTTCAATCCACTTTTATTATTATTAGTCCATGTAGTGTTCACACGTGTTATTTTGACTACCTTTATCTTTTGAGATTTGCATCCATGGTGACCCTAACAACAAAACAGTGACCTTTCTCAGAAACATCACACCTCACCAATTATTATTTGTTTGTTTATTTATGTGTATTTATTTAACAAATTAACATATATTTGTAATTTTTTTTATTTAACAAATTAACAAATATTTGTCATTATTTTTGTTTGTACCTTTGATAGTTGCACCGTCTTTAAGTGAGACACAACTAAATTATACAATTGATAAAGATTCTGGTGAATTGTCACTCCAGCCCATGGTGAGCCCTGGGATACCTCCTGGTAAGTTACACATAATATACTTTTCATTTTATTTCCTCTTATTTCTACACGCACACATGTATATATTTACTTATCCTCTTCTTCCTCCTTTAGCTGAAGTCCATTGGTATCTGAATGATCAGAATATTTCAGTCGGTAATACATTCACATTTGATTCTCCTCCTGTGGCATCAGATCGCGGCATATATACTGCTAATATATCTAACCTTGCTGGCTCCGCTAGTCTCTCTTACACTATAACAGTTAGATGTAAGTTATTGTCACTTTACGTAATGCACTGACATGAAAGACATGTAATTACCCATAGTAATTAATTAAGATCAAGTATATGTGTGTGTGTGTTTGTAATGTAGCAATTGGATGTAGTCGCTTATGCAACTTGAATGTCTTCCCTTAATTGCTATACTCTCCTCCTAACAGTACTTACCACTAATGAGTACTCATGAACAAATTATTACCATTTTTCTACAGTCTATATAATATCATGCATACATGTACATGCAGCTATTATGTTGTCACAGATGTCCACTATGCTATCATTATACATTTATCTCATTCACACACACACACACATTCTACAGTTGATCCTATTATAACATTGGAAATTACTGAAACTACAGCCACGGACTATATAATTCATTGTAGAGCTATAGCCTATCCTCAAATAGAAACTATAGAGCTATTTGAAATAAGACCTGATGGTACTCTTCTTAATCTACATCTAGAAGCTGGCGCTACTTCTACTACAAGTAATCAACTTTCTTCTAATCTTGACTATGAAGGAACTGCTACATTTGCTGGCACTGAAAATTGCCCCAAGAACTACAGATGTAGAGTGTCCACTTCTTATTCGAACGGAATTAATAATACTGGGACGTGCTTGACTAGTAAGTATACTTGTACGCATGCATATTTATTAAAGTTCTAGTTCTTCACATGCTGTGTGTAATCGACCCTTTCTTCTTTTTAT